TTTAGTCCATTTAATCTCATAATTTGCCAAAGCTCTAATTGACGGACTGCCAAAATAAAGAGACCCTGCCCAAAAAAATAATAATAATCGCCTGGGTCTCAAGACCTTGCCCCTGGCATACAAATCGGGCGAAAAATATGCAAAAAATAGTTTCAGGTTCAAAACTATTAGCGCCCGCATGCAAAGGCGGTAAGCCGATCAAAATTGGAACAATCCGTTAGCATGTTGAACAAATAAAATAATCAATAAACAATTGACGAGCTTTTTGTTGTTGTTGTTGTTGTCGTGCGTCGTCAGTTTCTCTTTTGCGATAATACCCTTGCTAAATAGAGGACTTTTTATATATGTAAACGACTTAATGAGCCATCAAATACATTTAAAAATTGATTTTATATAGACCACTTATTTGGACGAAACCGAATGCAAAACTAGTCAATAAACATATGCATCAAATTTCTTTTAAATAAACATTAACTTTTTTAAAAGAAATTTATATTAAAAACAACTTTCAGTTTAAAATACATTAAAACAAAAGAATTTGGTTTCTAGTTTACAATTTTATTTAGATATGATTTTGATATATTCTAAATAGTTTCAACTAATTTAATATGAATAAAAGTGAATTATATTTTATTTCTAGTATAATAATAATAATAAGCATTTTTTTTTTTTACATTTTTTTAATTATATTTTGTGTTTGGTGAATATATTTTTTAAATTTAATTGATGTATATTTTTCATATTTAAATGAAGAAGCATATTATAAATGGGATACAAATTTGTATATTTTGTTTTAATTTATTTTTAAATCTTTTAATTCATTTTTAAGTATTTCAATCAAGTTTTTAATTTTTAAGTATTTAAAGAAATCTTTTAAATTATTTTTAAGCATTTTCATCTATTTTTTAACTTTTAAGTATTTATGGCAAGCTTTATAAAATTATTTATTATATATTGAAATATTTTCTTAACATATTTAACATTTCAACTTATTGGATTAGCTTAAAATAAAGTTAAAATAAATTATATAATTGTTTTTTTATTTATAAAAAAATTTTGCTAGAGTATTTCAACTTCTTCAATTATATATATTTATTCGCATGATTTTTGTTGTTGTTATTTTGGTTTTATGACAGCTGACAACTGTTGCCTACCGTTTCATAAAATAGTTGTTTTTGGGGCCACTTGTCTGTCGAATTTTTATATTTATTTTATTTTATTTTTATTTTTATCTTTTTTTTTGTTTTTCACTTCTATTGATCGATTCGCATGTGCCGCATGCAAAAACTCAGCCTCGGGGCATGGTTAGTTTCAGCAGAAAATAATGTTTTAATTAGCAGCGCACAACACACACACGCACGCACACACACAACCACACACAGACACATTGATTGGAGCTGAGGTCGCGACGCGGTGCTCAGTTCTAGTATTAGCCATCCACGCCCCGCCGCACATTGTAATTATTATTATTATTATAATTATAATACGTCGGTTTGGGGGCGCACTCAAGTTTCACACAATCATTTTGTTATTGTTGTTGTTGTTGTTTTTTTTCCACATTTATTATTAGTTTTAATTTGTAGTTGGTGCGACGTTAAGCGCACACATTAACAATAAAACATCAAAACGAAAGGAAAATCTAAGACGCAGCTTAATGAACGCCTCAGTGAACAGCAAATCCTCACCTGCCTAAGTCATTCACTACCTGCCGCCAAACGTTGGCGATGACACGCGCGTGACACGAAATTTAAGACTTTGATTGGTTAATGAGACAAACGCAAACTCCATACTGAGGACAGCCTGAGTCGAGTTCGAAGCATCGTTATTTCTGTTACTTAAGTGGCAGAGATAGTTTGACAACTCCAGCCAGATATATGCCTAACAACTTTAGCTTTTACATAATACCAAACCTGGATAAAGCACAGATAGATATGTTTGTAATATGGGATATATAAAACAAAAGAATTTAATATTTTTAAAATTATTTTTATTTATATTATAACAAGAGCTTGACATGTGCTTAGATATCTTTTCGAATTACAGAACAGAAACTATATACTATTATATATATATATATATATATATATATATATATATATATATATATATATATATATATATATATATATATTAACTCTATCACTATTTCTATATAGCTAATATACCTTCAAATCACGCGCTCAGCGCTAATTGTAACTGAACAGACCACAGAACTCACTTAGCTATTGTCATTGCTGGGCATTCTCTATGTCATATATACATCTATACAGCATATGTATGTCTGCCTGTGTCTATTGCTCTCTAGTTTATAATGTTTTAATAGAATCGTTAGTTAGTTAAGTTCTTGAACCCGCCGGGGGAAACTTGAACGCTTGCTCATAGCCATAACTAATCTGTGTCAGTCGATTCGAATGTGGCTGCTGCATAGAACTCTTGACATGAGGAAGCCATTTGGGTTGCTTTTTGTGTAATCGCTGTAATTAGTGGGCATATTAGGTGCCATTAGTGTGAGTGAGATGGCATTATGGCGATCATTAATATACACATTTATATGTATATAAATGAAGAAGAAGAAGCAGCAGCAGTAGCTAACAATATATGTTTTGGGAAGAACTTGTGCGCAGCTGCTTAGCATCCAGAGAGCTATAATTATGCAACCTTCAAGTGGTCTAAGCCAATTTGTCATAAGTTATGGGAATTATTGAAATTGTGAACAAAACAAAAAATAAGCAATAATAAATTAAAAAATAAATATATACAAAACTTAGAGACTTAATGTAATCAAAATTTGGGTTTCCTAAAGATAGAGATTTAGAGTTGGAATCTTGATTGAGTTTAGAAAATCTGCTTACGATAATCAAGTCATATATATGAAGCCCATAAAAATCGTGTATATTTAGACTAAAATTTTAGTCTGCGCTTCAAAATTGAAAAAAAAAACTATAAATATATTTCTTTATAAATATATTAAATTCATAAATAAATTCGTGACAATTTGATCAAATTTAAATTAAACTTTGTTTGAAAATGCTATAAATATTTTACAAAATTATAAATTATAAAATTTACTATAAGAATAAATGTTATGGACTGATTCTCGAGTAGAACTTACTTTCTTTTACTTGTGATTTATTATATTGAATATATCTAAAAATTCAACTTATTAAATCTTTCATGCATTTTTTTTTGGTATTTTATCGTGGAATTCCCAACTCGTTATGCCAGCTAAACTAGATATTTTATCTGTTTTGCCATTAACAACCAGTTGACTTAAATTATTAAATAACAATTACAATTGACTTTCGGCATATAAAAAGTATATACACTTATTAACATAATTACATGTTGCCCTTCCCCAATGTCCCACTGACTTAACTCGACTCGACTCGCACAGCAAACTCGGCTTGTAGTGTCTTTCACCTTGAACTTGAGCTAAGTGCATAAGCTTCAGATTCCCTTTCCCTTTTTATATATATATTATGTATATAAATATATTTTTCCTCTTCTTCTGCTTTGGCTTGATTTGCTCTGTTTCTTTGAGTCATGCATCACATTGAGCTTAGCTTCTGGATAAAATTCCGCGGCAGCTGCTGGCGCGTGTTTTGAATTCTGAAGTTAAACACGTCTCTTGATATGTACTTTTAACACTATAGATATTATAAATATATGTGTATATATTGTTATTGTTTTTTTTTATTTGGTTTTGTTTAGTTAAGACCATTGACCGTCCTCGGCATGTTTTGTGCGCATTCCGAGTCGCTGGCGACACATCCGTATGGCATTTGATTCTTGTTTTTATTTTCATTAAGTCGCCGGTAGTTATTTCTTTGTTGTTGTTTTTTTTTATATTTTTATAGTATTTTTTTTTGGCTGATTCATTTATTTTTTTATTGCCTGCACAAAATAATTTTTCAAAAAAGGGCATTTTTGCTGGCAACTGGTCCCAGTTTCAATTTCAAGTCCAGTTCATCCAGTTGGCTCTTCTGCTGCTTATTCTTCTTCAGTCACTGACCGTGGACGGCCTTGCGCGCCAATTTAGTTAAATTATTTTGTGCTAAGTTTATTGTTCTTCTTGTTATTGTTGCTGTTGCTTCTGGGCTGTTATTGATTATTGAAGTTCAATAAGTTTGATGCCAGCTGTCGGCAAGGCCATAATTTAACATTAAAATAGCGCTAGAACAAAAGACTTAAGCAACGAACTTGATGATGCCAAACAATCGATACTTTTTTATAATCGATAATTTACATAGTTCCTTTTTCGACGAAACCATAAAATTTAAAATGCCCAAAGAGAACGAACGTGGCCATAAATTTTGATGTTAATCATGAATATTGATCTTGAAATCTTAACGGAAAACGAGTTTGAAAAAAAAATTAATATAAAGTTAGTATTATGAAAAATGGATAGAGAGGCTTACAGAGATATTTAAGCAGTCAAAATAGTTAGGATTATAAATGTATACAAGCAGACATAGATGTTAGTGGATATGGTTAGATGTACAGCTAGATAAATACATATATATTGTTTAAATTAAAGAACAAAACTGTCGAGTTAGTAGCAATTATAAATCGTTATAAATATATATTATAATTTTTTATATATTTTTATTAATTGCATATCCACTTTGTTGACATTGTATCATATTTTTCTAAATGGATATAAACTTTGATATAGGTAATATTTGGTATGTGAATTAAATAATTAATGCTAACGCATTAAGACTATAAAATTAACAATTATTTGTGTGCTAATCTTAACTATTTGAGTACGCATAAAAGCTATATGATGTTATAGACTTATATAATACAGATTGTAAATATATATATGTGCGTGTATTTTATGGCTAATTTGGCACATCATAAAAGTTGCATCATGCGTCTGCCTCTACAGCTATGATTAGCTCTTATGAGTGGTTCTGCCTGGCTTCGTGTTTGCCTGCCAAATTTGCAGCTGTCAAGATCTTTAAAGACACAGACATGTGTATATGTATGCAAACTTACATAGATACATATATATATATACATATGTCCATATAACAGTGTGGAGATCAAAGAGGCTGCAGCACGGTAGTCGACACTAAAAATTCAATTAGTTAATTAAATATTAATTACATGCACTGCACAAGCGTCGCTCATTTCGATGCTAATTCAATTAGCAGATGTTACCTACCTGTCAGCAATTATATTATTATTTTTTGTTTGAATAATATTTTTGTGTGACAGCAGCTGTGCTTTGCTTTTACCTTCTATTGATTAATACAAATTCTTGACTGGTTTATTAAATTTGATTTGTATGTGAGGCCGCGTCTCAAAGTGAGCGAGTTTTTTGCATTCTTTGCATTCGCTAAATGGCCTCACAAGGTCCACCTTAGTCAGCAGCAGGAGTTTAGCCCTCGTGCCTGTTGAATTTTATTAGAGCATAAATTCACACTCATTGTGCTAAAAAGCTTTAACGTGACAAAGCTTTTTAACGCTCGCACACGCTCTCCCTCTCACTTGATCATTCTCTCTGTGTGTATTTTGTCTTACGCTCAGCACTTAACGACGCTCAGTTTGCCAACGACAGGCGTTTGATGCGGACGCGGCGGCGCAAGTAAATAGCAACTAGACGCGAACGTTGCGCGCAGGCGCAATAACCAACGAAAACACGTACAAACGAAAATAGATAAAATAAAACTGTCATTTTTTTTTGGTTTGTTTTATGCTTTTGTGTTTTGTGCTATGCGCCGGGCGCTTAGCTAAATTCAAAACAGCAAACCAAAAAAAATAAAAACTAAAACAAAATTCAGATAAAGTTGATATAAATTAACGAAAAAAACTAACGGTACTTGATATGCTCCTCTTTCGAGTAATTCGTAGCTATGCTTTGTTGTGGTGTTTGTATGTAAAAAAAATAAATGCGATATACTCGTGAAAATTGGGCAAAAAAAGTGTGCAAAGGCAATTAACGGCAATAAAATTAAATTACACATAATAAGACCTAATAAAAAAGTGAGCAAATTTTCACATAATAGTGGCAGAAAATACAGCAAATGCATTGAAGCGTATTTTGTTGTTATATTTGTTTTTGCTAGAGTGTTGAAATTATGTTTACAAAAGCTGCGCGAATAATAATATAAAAAAGATGTTAAGATAAAAAGTGGTTAAATTAAGTAAAAAAAACTCGTCATCAAAATTTCCCACTAAAAATAATCAAAATTCAATAGAGACTCATCGCTTATTTATTCTATCAAAATGTTGCGAAAAGCCACGCTAAAAATTAAAAATACAAAAATTAACAAATTAAAAACTCGTAAAGACAAGCAGCGACTAGAGAAACATTCAAATTCAATGCGAGAACTTTGTAGCTTCTGTCTGCTCATATTCATGTAGCTGTCTCTTTCCCTCTCGCTCTACATGTGCCGTATTTCTTATGCACGTTTTCCCTTTGCCTTTGTGTGCGCTCTTTTGTTGGTGTCTCTATTGTACACTTTACCGTTTTATCGTTCGCTGTGTGATGTCTGTTTGTATATGCTTATATGCATCAAGTGTGTGTACAGACGCCCATTTATACAATTGTAGTTGCTGCTTTTTTGTTTTCGACAATTTCTTAAGGTGCGTTGCAGCATTCGCTACTGCTACTGCTGCTGTAATTTTTATTTTTCTGTCGATTACTTCATCTGCTGTTTATTTCCTATGTGCTGCGCGGACACATGTAACTGACCCACGCCAAAACTGACCACCGCAAAAAGCGCAGTAAAGCAAAAAGTCAAAAACTATGCACACTAACAGCAACAAAAATATCGCAAAAAAAGCCGGTTGAAGGCGACTCTTACATATTTACACGCACCAGCGCTCATTGAACACACACAGCAACGCCGCCAACAATAACAACAACAACGGCAACAAGCCAAAAGCAAACAGAAAGCAAAAGCAGCGCACGACTCAAAAACCTGTAACGCACGTCGACAGAGCTTTTAAAACATTTGCAGTCCGCGCCGCGTCTTGATTATGTCAATTCAATGTTTACTTCATTTCCTCAACCAAAAAGAAATGCGAAGATAAACTGAGCAGCAGCTAGAAGAGCATAGCAATAGCAATTTCACTTTCGTTGGACTTGAAAAGCTGCAGCAGCATGCGGCGGTGCGAGAGTGTGAGTCAGAGAGTGTGAGTGAGAGTGAGAGAGTGAGCACCAGCTGCATTGGATGCCGCTTCTGTTACTGCTGGTGGCTGACTGGGGCGTTGCTGTGCTGCTGCTACTGTTTTGTTTTTGGTTTTGCTTTGCTCTGGCATCGCATAGTTTCGGTTTCATTTTGTAACTGTAATGTCTGTTTCATTGTTGTTGTCTGTTGCTTGACAGACACACGCAAAGCTTTTTTTCGTTTCTTTCGTTAAGTCGTTGTGTAGTAAGTAACGTAATAACGTAATGCGCTTTAAGATTTCCACATGCAATGCGGCGTCGCGTGTTACGTTTTGGTGCCAAGTCCAGCGTCGACGCCGGCAGCTGTCGCAGCCGCAGCAGCGACGACAGTTGCATTGTTTTTGTTGTTAGGTAATCGAGCTAATAATGCGCTCACTGCGATGACGACCGCGACAGCTCCTGCAACAAGTATGCGAAGGTCGGCAGCAACAACAGAGCTACATACAAGGCACCCCAATGAGATTTTCGATTCCACGTTTTACACGCATATTTTTTTTGGTGTTGCTATTAAAGTTTTCGTGTCAGCTTGTAAAAAATTCTAATTATAAATGAAACAATTTATTACCGGGTTTTAAAAATAAAATGCAATTTATGTGCTAAGTTGCGCGGCGTTGACTAGCCAAAGCCAAAACCAGTTTCATGCAGTGCCAAACAACAACAACAGCAATTGCCAAGTGGGTGCAAGAAAAAATAACAAATAAAACTAAAAATAAAAAATAGTAATAAAAATAAAAAGTGAAAAAAAAACCAAAATTTTGCCAACATATGTAAAAAGCTGTGACAACAACGAATAAAACTTTATCAAAATTAAATAAAAAAAAACATATTAGTAATTTAGCATGAATCGTTTTTGCAGATTGAGTGTGTGCGTGTATGTGTGAATGTGTCGTGATTCATTAATCAAACGTAATCAATAAATCAATTGATTTTAATAAATGTTAATTTTATTGCTTAGATATTATTTAGTAGCAGTCGCTTCGTGTCTTAAATGCATTAAAAATTGAACGAAATTGTGAATTGGTTTACGAGACGATTATCAATAAAATAAAAAAACACAAAAAAATTTACAAAAATAAATAACAAAAATAAAACAACGAAAAAAAAAAACAAACAAACAACGATATTTATATGCCGGTTTTGTATTAACTGACAAGTTTGGTAAGTGAACTTTGCTAAAGAATTGTTAATTAATTGAAACACTGAAAGAAATTTTAAGTGCATTTATAAGCTATAATGGATTGAAGCACTGAAAGAAATTACAAGTGAATGTTTGGAGTCTAGTAAAAGTAAAGAAAATTGAGCTCCAATTGAAAGGTAAAAGGTATCCTCAACCCACTGTTAACACTTTTGAGTTCAATTGAAATGCGGCTTTCAATCTGAGACTATTGAAACTGAAACTTTTAGATTACAGAATGCAAATCCGAACTATACAATTGACAAAAGAGTACAACAGTATAACAGTATAACAATTCTAGTTGACCACACACTGTACGCAATGAAGTTAAGCTTTAATATATTTTTCGACTTTTGCTTCGTTAAATCTCTCTATCTTTAAGTGGCGCAGACACTGAATGTGGCCCTCAGGGCGGCCCAGGTCTTCAACTTTCACAAAGTCAGAACTTGTATTCGCCGCCAGGGTAAAACCCCGTTGTTTCGCTGCTTAAGCACTTGAAGACTTCAATAATAACAAAAGCGTTACTTACATCCGCGTGCCAGCATACGTAACTCGTTGCGTATGCTCAATTCTCTTTCTTTCGTCCGTTTAAATGGATATAAAAAACATTAAGTTGTATAAGTTTGTGTTGTATTGTATAGCAAGATAAATGCTAATTGAAATTTAATTATTAGAATGGCAATTGAGTTAAGTGAGAAGTGAATTCATTAAGTGATTGCCATGAAGTCCAAGTTTTCGGTAAACATCCCTCTAGGTGATTCTCAAAAAGTTGACTCAGCAAAGGCTTATGATGCTTATTGTATTGCTTTTACCATCAACTGATATAAGAAGTATATATAAATAAAATTTTCCAAATATCTGTTTTATTAACTTTAATCACAACAACGCCTTGATTTTCAAATCTTTAATGTATTATATGTGGCGATTGATTAAAAAACCGGATTTTCAAAAAAGAAAAAACCAATTATAAAGAAACACAAGTCTACAAATTTTAGTTAGTCTGTATTGAGCTCTGACAGATGATATGGTTAGTTAATTTAGTGTAGGTCGCATTTTGGCTAGGGTATTTAGAGATTCGTTATGCTTAAGGTATTATTAATATTCTCTTATTCAATTTGATTGGCACTTAATTATATCTTTTGACTACGTCATTCTAAGCAACAGCTGATGATGATTATAGACGTTGCTATTTCTACTGTTGTTGTTGCTGCTGCCGACGTGGAGCCCTCCCGCGACGGCTTTTGTTTTGTTTTGTTTCTTAAATCCGGTTCTAAATCGTAGACATTTCTGGTTTTCGAATCTATTATTTTTAACAAGTTATTTCGAGTGCTGAAAATTCAATTCCTTTGTTCAATTTTTAATTTTGCTTAGTTATTAATTCATTTTTTTAAAATCATATTTCTATTTGGACTTAGCTTTACATTTCCGGCTAGCGGGGGGCTTAACTGTGCTGCCCTTTGTTTATTTAACTAATTTAGCAGCTGGATTGGTTGCACTGAGCCGCTGCTGCCTGTCACTTGTCTATAGCTCAGCTTCAGTCACAGTTGAAATCTCCATCTTCATCTCTCGACTTTTATTTGTTGGGGTCTATCTGCAACATAAACGCTTAGTCACGAACCAAACCGATCCGTTCCGAGCCGTAAAAGTGCAAATCCATCTGCTACTTGGCATCTGGCATCTGGCAACTACTGGCAGCTGGCTTCTATATTTTTGATATACTCTGCCAGTGGGCATTCTAAGTGTGTTATGAAATATGTAAAAGGGGAAAATTTAGGGGGGAACAATTTAGGCCTGCAGAACATATGTTTGTAATGTTGAATGAAGAATGAAACATCTTCGATTTGTTAAATAACATAGTACATATGAAATAATACATATATGTAACATGTGTCCATGTTAACGATAGACTATGTTCGCGATCATAGCAAAATTCCCGATAAGTTGCTCAATATTCTCTTCCAGTCCAACTTCGTTTGCTTCGCGTTTGAGTATAAAAATTCTCTCTCTAATTTTGTTTGTAGTCTTTGAGTGAAACTCGGTCATCCGAATTTCGCTTGCTGTGCTTGATCATTTGCCTGCCAGATGTTCTGCTGCTCAGTCGCAACAGTGATTCACTTCTGTACCGCGATGGTAATTATTGGCATTATTCATAATAATAAAAACAATAAATATAATAATCATTGTAATAATAAAAAGGATCATGGTAGGTATGTTACATTTAAGA